GGAGACCAGAGCCAGGACTGCATGAATGTGAGGCAAGTGCTCTACCCCTGGAACCCTAACTTCCATCTAAGCTAATTTGATATCTTTGGGTTGTGAGCTTTTGCAGCCAGTTGGGAAGCTTGCATCTCTATAGTGGGGGTGGAAAACTGTTTTTATAAAAAATTAGTGTTTTTATAAAGTTCTGCCATCTAGAATCAGCAAAGAAATCTACAAAATGTTCAAGTAGGAGGGCAAATCTCAGACCATGTAAGAGTCAGTGAGACCCGCCTCTGCCATCACCATGTGGGTCCCATGCCTGCACACAAAGACATTAGACTAACAAGCAGCATATCTCTTGCACCTCTGTGAAGCATCTGAGATGTTAAACATAATGAATAATTAGTATCACTGGTTTTAATTACAGTTATTCCTATGGAAAACAAATCTCACAGCCAACTTCTCTTTTTTAATTTTGCTACAACTTCAACATTTTGTTTAAATGAACATTAAATATACTAAAGTAGCAGAAAAGGAGGAATAACTAGAAGATAGTATTGGGTATTTTCTCCTGTGAAGAGAGGGAGTTAAATACAAGATCAACAAGTTAAATTAAAATATATTTAAAAGTTGTACATGTGAAAACTTCAAATGCATGTCACATGTTCATGGTCCAGATCTGCTGTAACTTTTTTCCCACCACTGCTTTCATCCTTATATTGCATTTTAACACTTAAGTGCTCATTTGGAAGATTTTACATATCATTAATATCTCAATTTTCTCTGAATTATGATACTTTTTTCTTTTGATACTAGAGTTAGCTACTTTTGTCTATTATTTGGATTCTTATTCTTGGGGAGTTTGGGTTCCTGGTTCAAGTTATGCCATGTTCAGTTTAAAAGCACTAACATACATGTAACCAATGAAGATTAAGGTAACTATAACCACTACACTTAAGAGTACTCACTATGTGACAGGGGTGGCAGTTAACATTTATTTCATTACATAACACTCCCAATCACTCAACGAGGCAGGTTATTTCTGTGCCTTTGACACATGAGAAAATTCAAGCTTAAAAAGTCCAATTCGTTTACCCAAGATATTGGGGCTATGATTATAATTCAAATTCAAAGCAATACTTTGATTACTTGCAGCAAAATGACTAAAATTAAATTCAGTTATCCAATTAAGTATAGGACCATATTCCTTATACTCAGATACAAGATTGCAAATGAAAACCTACTTTTGAAATGCACCATTTTAAGGAACATTCTGAAGCTGCATTAACATGAAAACAAAATAAAAAAAACCAGAGCCTGGTGACTTGCCATGGTAAGAGGGCTGGACCAGGGCGTCTTCTTCCCTGAGTGCTACTCACGTAAGGTGTTCAAAGGATGAAGCAGCCCCTTTTCCAAAGGGCTCAGGCCTGCAGAGATCACATGTGGGGCTGCAAGGGGAACAGGTGCTGACTGGACTTGATGGGTGACCGATGCAGAACCAAGCCCAGGCCTCAGAAGCTGACCTGTCCCAGGCAGCACCCATCACCAGCTACGCATGCGTGCTATCTGTGGATGGAAAGGCAATCTGCAGCAAGTGCAATTGTGGGCAATGTATATGCACCTGCTGTGGCCTGTAGGCTATGTGGCCTTGTAGACTACACTGATGTTTGTGAGAAGATGCTGCAACAGTTGTGCTATATTTGAAGCTTGAGGCAGCCATGGGCAGCATTGTCCCCTGAATGGCACAGGAAGTTCACACTGGAGGGAGTGGCTTTTATATATTGTTTTGTACCCCAAGTGAATAAATCCCTTTGTATTTACAAAAACGACGACAAAAGAGAAACCAGAGCCTAACAGAAATTAAGAAATGTTAATTCTAAGTAAGATTGTGTTTTTCAACAAAATAAGAACTAGTATTACTTTCAATGACTTATTTGGTGCGAAAATATAATTTCTAGATTTAATCTGTTGACTTCAATTCACATTTATTCAGTATTTTAAAAAGTAACACTTTAGGGGCTGGAATGATGGCTTGGTGGTTAAGAATACTGGCTGCTCTTGCAGAGGACCTGGGTTCGTTTCCCAGAATTCACATAGCAGCTAATAACCATCTGTAACTCCAGTTGAAGGAGATCTGACACCCTCTTCTGACCTCCGTGAGCACTGCACAACAGGGGTGCACATACATACATGCAGGCAAAACACTCATACACATAAAAATAATAAAATATTCTAAAAACACTTATTAAACACTTCTATTGAACATATTCAGGTAAACTATCTTATTGATAGTCTAAAACACCAGTGACCTAGTAATAAAAAAATGAGAAAATAATTTGGATCTATTTTCATTTCCCACACTGTGCAACGCAAAACAAACAGACATCATATAAACTATATGGTTGTTTTTCAAAGGAAGTGTTAGGAACTTAACAGAAAGGAACAACCTTTATTGTCATTGTATATTATGATTACAAGTAAGTACCTAGTTATATAAGACTTTATAGTCTGTCTTATGCTACTGTCAAAAAATTCAGTAATTTCATTAATTTTATATTGTACTTTAAGGAGAAATGAATAGTAAGAATTTGACAATATTGTGAAGCGTATATTTAAGACATAATAAAATTGAAAAGAATACTACTTTAACTAAAGCAGTATTATGGAAAATGAATATCCTAATAAAATTAAACCAGTAAGATTTACCAAGACTGGCAGTCTCTTAATAGCAATATTTGTTTTGGAGGCAGGGTCTCCCAGTAGCCCCAGCTGGCCTGGAACTCTCTATGTAGATCAGGCTGGCCTCAGTCTCATAGAGATCCACCTGCCACTGCCTCATAAGTGCTGGGATTACAGGAGCGTGAAACCATGCCCTGTTCTTAATAGCAATTTTTGTCAACTATAACTATTGGCAGCTAATCACTGCTGGTTGAGGAAGAGCTGATCTTCCTAAAAGGAGAGACTCTAGACAGGCTGACTAGACCTCTGTGGATAAACTTGCACTGAGGGATGTCTGGGGACACTAACTTGACTGGATAGGCCTTAACGCAAAAGACAGAATGCATGAATTCCAGTGGGGGGCTGTGAGAGAGTGCCAATGGGGAAGGGGGTATAAAGATGATTAAGATGTTGTGTATGAAACACACAAAAATTCTATTAAATTTCTTTAAAAAAAAGGGGGGGGGGGCCTAAGGTGGGAAAGAGAAGTCGGAAGTTCGGCCATGGGAAGCTCATTCATGCGCAGAAAGCTAAACTGAGAAATCCACCCAGCTGCTTCAACTTTCCCAATCAGTTTCTGTTGGATGTTGGGAGTGCTTGATTTAATGATGTTATTATATCTATATGTTGGTATTTGGTCTTTTATTTGGAAGCTTCACCCAAGGGGACACTCTGCTCTGCCTGGGCCTTTCAATGAAGAATGCCATCTGATTGACTTAACAGGGCTTCCTCAGTCATTTTCTGCAGGATGTTCTTAAGTACCCGATTTGGTGATGTTACCTTTCTGAAGTTATTTATCCTTTTACTTGGAAGCCTCATGGGGATTGGGGGGATACTTTGATCTGCCAGGGACTCTCTGTTGAGAATTCCAGCTGACTGCCTCAATGGGGCTGCCTCAGTCAGTTTCTGCTGGAGGTTTTAAGCACCTGATTTGACAATGTTTTACTATCTGTCTATCTCTTGGTATTTATTCTCTTACTTTGGCTTGCTGAATACTTAGTAAACTCAGTCATTCAGAACTAAAAAACAAAAAGAAAACCTTGTCCATTTTTTTCATTTTAAAACTGTCACCCTGATGAGACATTTAGAGTAGACACTATTTCCAACACTTTACTAGAAAAAAAGTGTTTTTAAGTCTTTATGTGTTTTACCTTTGTGTATGTAAATGTATCATGGGAGTGCAATGCCTGTGGAGGCCAGAGGAAGGCAGTGGATCCCCTAGAACTGGAGTTACAGACAGTTGTTGTCATGTGGGTGCTGAGACCAAACCTTGGTCCTCTGGAAGAGCAGCAAGTGCTCTTAACTGCTGAACCATCTCTCCAGGCCCGAGGAAAGTTTTTTTGTATCAGATCTTAAATTACAAAATAGATCCAATCTTTTCTTCAATATTTATGCCACACCTTAACATAATCTAATAGAGCTTAGTTTTTTATAAGGTCCAACTGCTAAGATAAAAGCTCTTAAAAGTTGTACAGTTTTAGATACTTCCTTCTCTAAAACCTGTAAAATAAAATGTTTTCCTTTTTTTCTATAACGTCTAGCACAAAATTCATTTCAGTTTTCTGCACATGCAGATGACAAGATATAAATCCTATCCTTACATCTGTCTAGTTATGAAAAGAAACAAAAACTGAAACAAAGTCTCTGAATTGGCCCCAATACACATACTTTTAACAACCTATATCTAAAGCAGATTCTAAAGTGCAGTAGCAATTTTAGTCTCCTTTAGACAAAAGATAATTCAAAATAGGAAGGAGTCTGATTGCAGGGCACACTATACAGACTATGACAAATGGTTTGCTACATACAATCTTGCATAGACTTTGTGCTTAGAACATGCTCCAGGACATTAGTATGAAGAGAAACCTCCAGAGACAAATCAGAACAATGGAAAGAAAAAAGACTGAAACTAAAAGTAATTTAACGTATTTTCCTGTATTTCACATATTTTTTAATAAGAAAAAATTATAAAATACATTGTTTTAAAAAATTGTTTTTATTGCATTTATTTTGTGTATGGATATGTGTGTGCTATATGCCATGGTGCACTTATGGAAGGTCAAAGGACAATTTTCAGGAATTGCTTCTCTCCTACCATGTGGTCTCAGGGATTGAACTCAGATATGCAGTCTTGGCAGCAAGTCCCCTGACCTTCTGGGCCATCTTATATCTTTAATTTGAACTTTTTGAAGAAGAAGATAACAATGGTCTATGTCCAAATGTTTTATATTAAAATGGAAGTGTGGACGAGAGAAGGCTCCTTACATACACATGCACACACACACACACACACACACACACACACACACCATCTATTTATAACATTTATTCTCCAGTGTGGATTAGGAGTTACTTCTCAATGTAAAAATTCACAATTTAAATTTTATCTGGAAGGAATCTAAGCATGGATAAGCTTAAACTGTTATCTGAACCACTGAATTAGCCATTTGATTTTGAGTATGTACAGATTTTATCAAAAGATAACAAGTTCAACTTTGAAGATGCAGGTACAAGTTCTGTTTTTACTCCAAAAACCTCTTATGCACATTCAAAATTTTGACAAAACCTGAGAAAGTTCTTCTAAAATGAACCTTTTAACCTACTGAACAGCACCTACATTCTTGCTCTGATGTTCATTTCAGCAGCATTTGCCACTGTGGAGCACATCAAAATCACTCAAACATCAAATTGCTGATCTGATAGAATGATTTATTTTCCCATTATAGGAAAGTCATGAGTGACTTGTTCTGAGGTATGTTTTTGAACTATGAGGACATCTAGTAAAAAAACTCGACACTTCTAGATTTCTCTTTAGGTGATAACATTTCATGGCTGGACAGTCTCTGCGGGAACCAGATTCCCTGTTGTATCCAATTGCATACATTTACACGTGCATGCTGACACAGGGCACTCTGCGTGGTCCCTGAAAAAAATTAGGTGATTTTGTTAAGAACCCATACTTTATACACATGCATGCATTTATTTTCCTATCTCTGTAATGCAAGTTTTCAAACTGGCACTGAGGAAAAGTTCAGGAATTAAAATCTACAGGAGAAAGTATTTAAAGCATCAAATTAGAAACAACTACAAAGCTGAACTTTGAAGAGAAAGTTACTGAGAGATGAATAACATTGCTTTCTACTCATATGCTAAAACAGCTCAAGGTCACGAAGGTGACAGGAATGTATTCAGAGTTCAGATCAGTACAAAGGAGACAAGGTGCATGAGAACATTTTATTAATAAGCAGCACAGGGCCACTGTCACTGCTCAAAATCAAAGTCAAGTATGGTCTTGAGAACCTCCATGGCAAGGTGGTAACTTACTACATACCAAGCTTACTTAGAAAATATCTTGTATGTGTATATTTATATTTATCATTACATTTAAATTTACTTACATGACAAACAAGATATTGTTTTAAAAAACTATAAACATATCTTCTTCCTCAATAAACTTAAATAATACTAGACATTTAATACAAAGGATTTTTTATGAATAGTTTTATAATTCAACATTGTGTAAGATTATTAATGATAGAAATGTTGACACTCTGTTAAGTGACAATAAAAATTTAATCTTTGATAAAACATTAATACCATACAATAATAGAAGAACCTGAACTATTTAAAAGGCCATATCATCTGCTCTATGTCCTATAACTCTAAGCTTATCAAAGAAGGAAAGTACTATTTACCTGAACCAACTAAGCATATGTCCAGCATGCCCACCATGCCTACAGTTGTGACACCATGTGAACCAGTTGTTAAACTGAGCTAATTTTTTGTCCTTGCTCAAATCCACTTTTTCATCTGATTTGGATCCCCCTATGGGAAAAGAAAATGATCTCCATCAGCCATGTAAAAATATTTCAAGTTTCTTAAAAGTTATCTCTAAAACTATGTTCAAATATATATGACACTAAACTGAAATAGCAATTTTAATGTTAAGCTCTACTACTAAATGATAGTTTCCATACATTTTTAATGATCAGTAAAAATGGAGAAGGATGTGTTGGTACACACCTTTAGTTCCAGCATTTGGGAGGCAGAGACAGGTGGATGGATCTCTGTGAGCTCTAGACCAGCATGGTCTAAACAGCCAAGTTCCAGCCACGGCTACACAGTGAAATCCTGTCTCAAAAAAACAAAATAAACCAACCTTTCCCTGCAAAACAGTATAAATTATCCAAACTCACTAAAAAAAAAAAAAAACCTGAATTTTAAAACTTCACATTGGTTTAAAACCTTTCCATAAAAAAGATTCAGGCTCAGTTTTCAAGTAAATTTCACCAAACACCAAAGAGACAGGTAATTTGTGTTCACACAAATTTTTTTAAAGAAGACAATTAATTAATTAATTAATTAATGAGGAAGACAGATTACAGATCAATCTCCTGAACAGACATAAAAATATCAAGTAAAACATGGGCAAACAGAATCTAGCAATACCACAATCCTTGATTTGGTAATTCTACTGCTAGGTGACTTCAATACCCCTATCTTTAATAGGTAGGTCAATAAATAGACATCTGAATTAAATGAATTACATGAAATGGACCTAACAGACATCTACAGAATATTCCACCCAAACAGCAAATACACTTTCTACTCACCAGCTCAGGCAAGTTTTTCTAAACTTGACTACGTTGTGGGACACAAAACAAATCTCAATAAATAAATAAAAAAATTGAAATGATTCCATGCATTCTATCAGACCACAGTGCAATAAAGCTTATAGTCAACAGCAAAAGAAGGTCTAGTAACTACATGAATTCATGGAGATTAAACAACACACTTCTGAATGATGAATGGATCAAAGAATAAGAGTAAGAGATTATAGAGTATGTGTCCCTGGATAGGACTCCTATATCAAACCTTTCCCAACCACAGCTCAGGGACCATTCTGGAAAGGGGGGCAGAAAGATGAGGCTTTCAGGCCACTGGATGCTTGTACATGTAAACTTATGGCAATGGTGGCATCCAGCACAGGACTCATACCAACTCAATCAAACAAAGTCCCAGAGTGGAGCGAGGGAAATGGGTAGCAGGTTGGCCCAAGTCTTGGGAACTATTGGAGACTTATTACTACTGGATCAGGGAGAATAGGCCTTACCAACAATCTTTAGATAGGCTGACTAATTTCCAGTGAATGAATCTGCACTGAAGGACATCTGGGTACAAATGCTTGACCGGACAGGACTTAACATGTATGATGGAATATGTGAGGTCCAGTGGGGTTGGGGCATGGATGGGGGAGTGAGTCTAAATTTTATTAAGAACTGTCATATGCTGGGCATGGTGGCACATGCCTGTAGTCCCAGCACTTGGGAGGCAGAGGCAGATGCATCTCTGTGAGTTCAAGGCCTGCCTGGTCTACATATAGTGAGTTGCAGGCTAGCTGGGGCTACAGGGAGACCCTGTCTCAAAAAGACCAAAAAAAGAAAAGAAGAACTCTTGTATGAAATGTACAAAAGCTCAATAAAAAACTTTTAAAAATTAATTTACACTTTTCTATAAGCTTTTAGTAGTGACTTTTACGTTTGTGTTTGTTAAACACTTAATATACACAGAAAACAGTCCAGAACAGGCTACTTTGTGTGTCTTTTTTAAAATGAAAATATATTAAAGTATACCTTGCTACAAAGGAAATGTACTTTTTAAGATCAAGTGCTTTCAAATTATAAAAGATTTCTAGTGAATTGTGCAGATATGTGCAGCAGAGTGAGGGACATCAGTTTCATGTGTGCACTAACACAGCATAAGAAAGAAACCAGTATAAAAATCGAGCTTTTAAAAATATGGCACCATCTAGAAGTTCCATAAAGACATGGATTTTTATGACTTTTTTAAACTGTAATATTTTTAGCACTTAGAATAGCAGGCACTAAAAGACATTTGTAAAATGTTTACAACTTATAATGATGTTAATTAAAATTGTTTTAGTAAAGTTCTAATATATAACTGAGTACAACTATATGCATTCTTGTGCTCGGGATGTAGCTCAGTGGCAGAATTCCTGCCCAGTTTATTTAAGAGGCTGAGATTCACTTACATCAGCTCATAAATATCCTAATAATTTGGATCATGAAGCATGATGGAAATAATATGACTACAGGCAAAGCACCTGAGAGGTTCATGTACTTGAACTTTTAAACTGCCATGAGATAGTACTTAGTTTTCTACTAAGCCCCATTTTGGAACTAGGATTCCTCTGATAAAAAGAATAAACTTACAATCCCTAATTACTATATTCCAGCAGCCTTTAAGATGATAGTCAGGCTCCTTCTGATTTCTGTCTTGTTTTCTGTCAATCCACTTCCTAGATCCTTCTGGCACTAATGCATGTGCTATGTCCCATAAACTTCTTGTACTTATCCTATTTACAATCGCTCCATCTAGCCCATGGATTTCAGTCTTTGTCTACACTTGGAAAGGCTTTCCTGAGATCACCACATACTGAAAACTACCAAACATAAGAGGACTAGCTTAAATAATACCTTCTTTCTGATGAAACTTTCTAGATCTTGCAAATATAAGGCATGTTTCTATCTTTCAAATCTCCTCACACTATCCCTGTAAAATATTCTTTTATTTTTAAACCCCCTAAACACATAAGAGACTGTTTCAAAATTTAAAATATTCTGGGATTTTGTAAAAATATTAAAGATCAAATATATATTGTATAACATATCAAGAAAGTCATATGTGCTTGTTACCAGATACAGAAGTATTTTTGCAGTAAGCATGTGAATAGTCAAAAATAAAGAAAATAAAAATCTTCCTAGCCTTGCTAATTTTGAACATGTTTTATTGTTAGATGAGATTATAAATTCATTTAGAAAAACTCTGGAATATGAGATCTTTCTAAAGATTTTGGAATGACAGGATTTGTGGAGCAGAACATATTTCCCAGAATTCTTTTTTTTTTTTGAAGTCAGGGTCTCCCTGTGGCCCCAGCTGGCATGGAACTTACTATGTAGACCAGGCTGGCCTCAAACTCACAGAGATCTGCCTGCCTCTGTGCTGAGATTAAGGGCGTGCGCCATCCCGTCCCCAGCATAGATATTCTCTATCAGCTATCCACGTTTATCATATGGGCTCTATAAGGCTGTGACTCCTCTCAGCACATTAGCTTTATCTTGATATATAAAGTGCATAAATGTGTATTATGCAAAGAAATTTCTGAATGATGTAGTAAGTCTAAGTATTCAGTATCTATTGGATTTGTCTCTATTATAACTGAAACTGTTTTATGATTTCATTTTCTTCAATTCTATATAATTATCTTTTCATACTTCTTTCCAAACTAGGAAAGGCTGAAAAGTTAATATAGAATAAAAAGGAATAGCATCACAGTGACATTAGAAAGCAAATATTCACTTTAACTTCCAGAGACTTAAGGCACAGAAGATACACTAAATTTAATTACACACACACACACACACACACACACACACACACTTCATTTACCTCTTTACTTTTTTATTGTACTGAATGCTCCAAGTTGTTATTTTATTTTATTTTAACTATGACAAATATCATATAAACACTGATCAGCATGCAATATGTAACAGAAAAATTCTTAATTCAAATCTAAACCAAAGTCTGGATATGGTGGTGTATATCTGTCACACTAGTACTTCTGCAGCAGGAGGTCATGAGTTGTAGATCAGCCAGGGCAACACAGTGAGATGCTATCTTAAATAAATAAAAAAATATATATATATGTAAGTAAGTAAATATTAAGATGCATATTTTAAAACATTACACATGAAGGAAACAGACATTCTGGCATTATGTCTAATTCTTCATTATACCAGTGTGCCAAATAGCCAAATGTTTCAGATGAAGACTTTGTTTTCCTTTTTTCTTTCTTTTATGTTTTTGAGACTACATCTCCCTATGTAACCCTGGCTGGCCTAGAATTCCCTATGTAGACCAGACTGACCTTGAACTCAAAGATCTGCCTGCCTCTATCTCCCCAGTTCTGGGATTAAAGTCGTGTACCACCATACCCAGCACTAATATATATTCTTTATTTGCCACATTAACTCAATTACAGAGGAACAATGAGCTCAGAAAAATATTTCGTGCAATTATGTCATACCAGGACAGCTAGAAACGGGTGTTCCCATATTAATGAGACAAAGTGCACACCGAGGAAGGGGTTTTCGACAGCCAGGGCAACTTGTGACTTTCGATTTTGTTGGTGAGCCACTCACGCCATACTGACTAAAGCCTCTGCCCTGATGAGGCACAGATGAACAGCTGTAGGAGATTGATTTGCCACAAAAATTACAACTCACAAACACCTACAAAACAAATGCAAAGAGAATTTTAGTACAAACCATAATGGAATTATGAGGTCTGGTACTATCAATATATTTTAAAAACTTTATTTTATATTACAAAATGATCCATCTGCTACATCTGCTCACCTCTCAATCAAAATCTCTACTTAGCAGTTACACTATTTGATACTTCTGTTACCTTTATTTAATTATATTCTTCCTAATACCACTGATATTAGTGAAAAATTTTCTTTGGACCCTAACATTTTAGAATTGTCACAGACTTAATTCATGCTGACCCATTGCAAAACACCTCAACTGTTATGGTGTGAATGTGCAATGTCCCCTGTAGCCTCATGTGTTTGAACACTTAGTCCCCTGCTGGGGGTAGGCCTTGAGGGAGGGTCTAGTTATAGAATGGGTCACCTGGTGTGGTCCTTCAGGTTTCTTAGCCTGGCATCACTTCCTGACAGCTCTTGTCCTCCAGACTGTGGACACAATGTGACCAGCTGCTTCATTCCTACTACCATACCATGAAGGACTGTATTTTCCACTGTAAGTGAAAATATACCCTCTATTCCTACAGCTGCTTCTTGTTAGGTATTTAGTTACAGCAACAAGAAAAGTAACTATTACACCAACATAAAACTTCTAAATCAAAGTTCAAGAATACAGTCTTCTCAACAAAATCACCTTATGAAGAAAACACTCTGAGTGGTGGTCTTGTAGCACAGGTCTATAATCCCAGCTACTCATGTAGCTGAGACAGAAGGACCACAAGTTAAAGACTAGCCTAAGCAACTTAGTGAGTCCCTGTCTGAAAAAAAGAAAGAAGAAAGGAAAAAGGAGGGCTGGGGATGTGTAAGGATACATCTCAGTGATAGAGCAAATACCCACCTATCATGTACAAGGCCTTAGGTTCCATTACTAGGTACCACAAAAAAAAAAAAAAAAAAGATTAAAACCTAACAACTCCCCACGTCTGTTTCTAAGATAAAAATAAGTTAAGGAATCTGCAATATTAAATGTTAAAAGTTTAGAATAGGGCTGATAAGATGGCTCAATGGGCATTTGCAGCACAAGCCTGACAGTATCAATTCAATCCCCAGGCTCCAGTTTTCTGAAAGTTGTCTTTGAACGTCCACACATGTACTGTGGACACACATACACATCAGATTTGTGCACACACATCATACATGCACACATCAATAATATTTTAATTAAAACTTTTAAATATATATAGTTTCTTAATTTTATTTTCTGTGTATGAGTGTACTGCCTGAATGTGCATAAGTGTACCCATGTTGTGCAATGTCCATGGAGGTAAGAAAAGGGTGTCAGATCCCCTGAACTAAAGTTACAGACAGTTGTTAGCTGCCATGTGGGTGCTGGGAATCAAACCCAGGTGCTCCACAAAAGCAGTCGGTGTCTTAACCACTGAACCATCTTTCCAGCCCCCAAATTAAAACTTTTTTAAAAAGCTTAGAAAAATAGCAACAGAAGGTACTCATTCGTTTTTATGGAAAACTCCTCAGCTCTTATTACTTATACAGATTAGTAGCATCTGACACAATACTACTTTACCAATACTCCTACTCCAGCTGTCACACTAAGTTTTCAACTTTCCACAAAAAGAAAATAGCATTATCTAGTGCTCATATTAAGGATAACCATAGTTTAACATTTAAAGTAAGAGTGACACTATGTCATATGCTTTATATGATAACTGATTTCCTGTTTTATAAGTTCCATGTATACCTGGGCGTGGTGGCGCACGCCTTTAATCCCAGCACTTGGGAGGCAGAGGCAGGTGGATCTCCTGTGAGTTCAAGGCCAGCCTGGTCTACATAGTGAGTTCTAGGACAGCTGGGGCTACAGGGAGACCCTGTCTCAAAAAGACCAAAAAAAAAAAAAAAAAGTTCCATATATAAAGCTGGACGTGGTGCATGCCTTTAATCCCAGCACTCAAGAGGCAAAGGCAGAAGGAACTCTGTGAGTTCGAGGCCAGCCTGGCCTTCACAGTGAGTTCCAGGCTAGTGGGGCTACCTTTTTGAGACCCTTTCTCAAAAGACTGAAAAAAATTAAAAGGTCCATGTATAGACATATAAATGCATATACATATTATATATTTTTTAAATCTCCAAATCCTGCTCTACTACATATAAATAATACATAAAACAATGCACAGATGGGATTTGTAAGGTTGTATAATATGGTAGATTCTGAAAGGGTTTGGCAAATACTGGTGAACTTTGGACGGCCCTAGTGAGTTAGGCTTTCCTAAGACCATCTGGGCCTGCTGTGTTTTGTTTTATTTCTAAGTAAAGCTTATCTACCCAAGATGATTACTAGTGAGCAGAAAAATAAATACAACAACAACAAACCAGGAAAAAAAAAATTAAGAACAAAATGCAGTCTGAAATAAATAAAGTCATCAACAGGAACTCAGTATAAATCAAAGAATGGTATGATTCATTAAATTCAATGTTACCACGTTAAAATTTGATTCTCCCTAGAACAATCTGCTTACCTGTGCTAAAGGCTTGGAGCTGGGGTCCAATTTACTTCTGTGAATATCAAATTCAGCTCGTTTGTGCCAAAACCTCCAGGCATCTAATAAATTTCTATAATTCTCAATCCAGTACTGAACCCTTTCATCTTTAAGAACATCTAAAGGAGAACCCTAAAAGCAAAACATGAATTATTTCCAATGCCCTAGCTTTTGGATTCTGGATAACATATGAGCATGAGTAACTTGGAAGAACAGACCTTCTAATTAAAGCCCACACTGGCTCCTTTTGAGGATATGGAGAAAACAGCAAAAGCCCCAAGAATCTCCCTTCAGTTGGTCTTCACTAATAATATAAGCATGTACTGTTTAGTTCATACTTGACCATGGAGTGAACTTCTCTTTTAGTTAAGCTTAAGAACAAGTAGCAAACAATTCACCTTCCTGGCTGAATGCAGTCAATAGTGAAGAGAATATCCATTGTCCCAATTATTAAAACTTCCCATTTAAACTAATACTGAGGCTTGCCCTTCATATCTACTAGTGAAATACTGCTTGAGCATCTATTTTCAATAGGTTAAATCTGAAAATTCTCTTGTTTTCAATTAAAACATACACTTATTGACTTAAAAACAATTTTTTAAAAGAAAACTAAATCACTTTCAAATAATTTTCTTCCAAAATTATCTTTTTCTTATACTACATTGTGAAAAGCAATAAATTTGTTTTCCTTAAATTTGTAGTTCTTCTCATTAAGAACATCAATTTCATCTGGGCGTGGTGGCGCATGCCTTTAATCCCAGCACTTGGGAGGCAGAGGCAGGCGGATCTCTGTGATTTCAAGGCCAGCCTGGTCGACATAGTGAGTTCCAAAACAGCTGGGGCTACAGGGAGACCCTGTCTCAAAAAGACCAAAAAAAAAAAAACAAAAAAAAAAAAATCAATTTCTAAGAAGCTTCTTTTTTGCAACAGATGGAGACTATTACAAACAAAATTCCACAAATGATCAAAATACAGCCCCAAGTGACACATCTACAAGGCAACCTTTACACCTGAGGCTCAGGGAACATTGCAGAAGATAGGGAAGAAAGATTGTAAGAGCCAGAAGGACAAGACACCTATTGCTAGTCAATACATTCTGGACATGTTAGGGAAGCTGCACCAATGAAATCCCCACAGTAGTCTAATGAGATCTGCATAATTACAAAACCAGTTGATTATGTCAAATGTCAAGGTGGATGGGAAAATTTCACAGTGTTCCACATCAAGATGAAAAGCTACAGGAGATCAATGGATGCTGAGAGAGGAAGAATCAGTTTTCTCCAGGGACTAGCTCCCTGAGAAGTTATCTAATCCCGAATGACACCCCTAAATACAGGTACACAGGAGCACTGTTTAATGGACTCAGTACATCATATATATGTATATTTATAAATATATGTATGTATATGTGACAATAATAATAAAAGAAGAGAACAAAAGATTGTGAGGGAATATACATAGGAGTAACTGGAGGGAGACTAGAAGGGGTGGAAATAATGTAAATAGTATACTCATGTACACAATTCTCAAAAAAAAAAAAAAAAAAACCCAAACAAAAAAAAAAATCCAAACATCAACTCCTGGCCATTAAGAATATCCCTAAAGCTGTATTTTCCCCAGCAGCTATGACAGTACATATTTCATCTATGCTGCTTTGAATTTTCACAGAATTACAGCCCTCTCCAGGATTTCCTCCTAAAGTTTGCATGGTGAAAAAAGCAGACATCTAGGCCAGTTGAGGCCCTGTTTCTCCAGTATATGTGAGGGCCAGACAAAAAAGAAAAAATGTTAGAGAAAACTTAGAAAACATTATAGAAAACCAACTGAAACCTGTATTATCTAATACCATCTATCTTTATATAGTCAATAAAAAAGATGTCTTTGACTTATTAAGAATTAATTTCATTTACTATACTTGAATTTAAATAAAACAGCATGTGAAAAACTCAAAGCTGGCAGTTTTCATTTCTTTAAAAAGTAGGTAACTGACTGTGACTAGTAATAATCAGATATATAGAGACTAGAAATGCATGTGTAAACATCTAAGTGTTAATTGCATTAAAAATGAATTTTTCTGTATGAAACTGTGTATTTTAAAAATGAAATAGAGATCTTTTTTTA